GCATCGGCCCTGGCGGAGCTCCTGGTTGCTCGTGCCATGCTTGGTATAGTGGAGATGGCAAGTCGATTCGATGAGATCGTCAATGGGCTTGGGCGCAATGCCAGCAGTCGCTTATAAGGAAGTCTGAATGCAATGGTGAGGAGACGTGCTGGGCAAACGAATTGGAGATGGGTGATAGAAAAGGATCACTTGAGATATGGATCTTGTGAGCGGCAAACCTCGACAAGTGAAGGGTGAGTGACCGGAAAGGGGAAACTACGCGTGAATGGTGAAGGCAGGTATCATGACGTCGATGACGATGATTGGAGCTTTGGCCCTTGTCCCTGCCTTAGCGCGCATGACGAGGACGCGCCGAGGTCCACTTTGTCGGGAGCCCGTCACCTCTGATCAGAGCTACCCCACGTCTATCGATACTATCGATACCTCTTGAACGCCTTCAGACTAAGCTCATCATGGCTCACAAGGCGCCGCTGGTTGTTCCTGCGCTCAAGCGACACACGGCCACTGTCATCGTGGCGCATGGACTGGGTGACAGCGGGGCTGGCTGGTAAGGAGACTCAACGTTATGCATGTGTACATCTAAACAGCGTAGGATATTCCTCGCGGAGAACTGGCGCAGACGCAGCAAGTTCGAGGAAGTCTCCTTCATCTTCCCCAATGCGCCCAATATCCCGATCACGCTGGTTCGTTGACCAAGTCCGACGCAAGCACACAGCATATCGCTGATACGCGACACAGAACATGGGCATGAGCATGCCAGGATGGTACGACATCAAGTCACTCAGCACGCTCGACGACCGCGACGAAGACGAAAAGGGCATCATCGAGTCCCAGAAATACTTCCACTCCCTTATCGACCAAGAAGTCGCAAAGGGCATACCCGCCAACCGCGTAGTCGTTGGAGGCTTCTCGCAAGGAGGCGCCATGTCGCTGCTGTCCGGTGTGACATACAAGGAGCAGCTTGGAGGCATCTTCGGCCTGAGTTGCTACCTCCTGCTGCAGAAGAAGATCAAGGACATGATTCCGACCGAGAACCCCAACCAGAAGACGCCCATCTTCATGGGCCACGGCGACGCTGACCAAGTGGTTGCGCACAAGTGGGGCAAGCTGAGTGCGGAGGAGCTCGAGAAGCACGGGTTCAAGGTCGACTTTAGGACTTACAAGTACGTCAGCTGTTTGGAAGTACGAACGTATCACTGACAATGCGTAGGAACCTGGTTCATTCCGCCGACCCAGATGAGATCGATCACCTCGAGTCCTACCTTAACCAGCAAATACCTGCTCTTGGCGACAAGTCAGAGCTTTGACTCTCTCAATCGACCCCGATCGTGACGACCGAAGCGACGACAGCCCTGGTGCTTATAATCACACTGGCCATTGCTTGGTTTGCGTGGTACAAGCGTGACGCTATACTAAGGCCACATGATGAGACAGACTGGCATGGGAATTGAGCTACATATAATGATGGGAGACATATGATAAAATGACCTTGACGTGATTAATCCATGGATTAAAGCTTGTTCACATGGTCTTTCCTCGTAGGGACATCTTTGAGAGGTGTTGATGAACTCAACTGTAATCATGTACTCTGATCGGCCATTTCGTCACCACCTCAGCGCAACCCCGTAGCAAATACCAGGTAACAAACACATCTACCCCGCCTCTGTATCTTCGTAACAGTCATATCCACCTGTTTGTCCGCTAGCTTCATGTTCGTGGGTGAAGTTTGCAAAAATTCTTCCCCGTCGCCCCACCATCACCACTGCATCGCCAACCACCACAACCACCAACAATGTATTTATTCTAACTCACCAGCTCTTCATCAATTTCCGATATGGTCTAGTGGCTAGGATTTGCCGCTCTCATCTCGCAGAGTCAGTTCACTGTACAGTGCCGGCAAGGCCCGGGTTCGGTAAGTTTGCATCGCAGTAACATGACTTCGAAGCATGGTTCTAACAATTAATCAGATTCCCGGTGTCGGAAAATACCTTCTTTTTTGCTGATTTTTGGGTAAGGAGGGAGGGGTGTTGAGGCATGGCATGAGGGGCCAAGATAGAGATGCTGGGTTGAGTTTTTGGAAGGGGATGTGCGCTGGAATGTACCGCTGTTTAAGAACTTTAAAAGCTGAAGGACGCGTGTAAGAGGGTGAGATTCATTTTGTTTGGTATTGCACGGCGTGGAGAATTTGGTATTACGAACGCGGTGTGCAAGTAGGTTTTATTGCTAGAGAGACTTGCAGACCTGTGCCTGTATACATCCGTGATGTGGTGCTTACCGCATCTAAGAGATGCGGCTCTGTGCCTCGGCTACGATGCACCTTCCACAACATTACAGTACCACGACTTCAATCCATCATCCCACTTTTGTCGCGACACTGCATCTCATGCGCTCCTGCCGCTCGTATTCAATGACGCGCGCACTCTCCAATGCATCTGAGGAGACTACCAAGCATCGCATTGCTTACCTAAGCCCAGCAACTCTGCTTTTTCTTCCTGCCGAGCTCTCTGCAACTCCATCTCGATGCGGCCTCCTATCGATAGCTATATTTGGAGCTCGCTACCAGCTACACTCGGCCAACGTCCCATTCAGGCGTCCAACAACGTCACAAAATGCCAACGGGCTGCACGGGCTGGGCCATTCGTGCGGGCTTTCCAACATTCCAGCTGGGACTCGCCTGCCTGCTAAGCTCACGCCTCAAAGCTTTGTACCACTGCAGAGGAAGGAGAGTCAGGGGTTGCGTCGAGTCCGGCCCAGCTAGTCAGCATCTAGCGAGATGCTTGATTCCTTAGGGCTGATCCCCTCGACTGTTCCCACTCGTCGCAGACCTTCCCAACCCGCCGTCTGGTTTGCGTAGAAAGTAACTCTTTTTCGCGTTCAACGGTTAACGAGAATTTGGTTTGCCATGACGCTGTCGTTCGGCGACGATCCAGTAGATCTTCCGCGACATAACGATCAACAAGCGAACCCGCAATCACGATGTAATCACCTTAAACCTCGTGTGAGTGAGATGCCGGCCTTCCCGATCAGTCTGGCCGAAACTTGCCATTGGTAAATTTCCGAACCTGCACGCTTTGGGGAGACGTCGCATCCGTGCGTTCAGGCACGAGCGGCCGTATTTGACATGCGCCTCAGCGCTGGCGGTCTCGTAGCGCGGGCCTAGGGCTTGCGGACAGCGTCAGTCCATGTGGAGATGTACGAGCGCGGTAGGGCGGACGGTGTTTATTGGGTGCGTGGGCCATGGGTCAATACGAGAGGGGCTGTTGTTAAAGAGCTGAGCTCGCTGCTATCTGTGGGTTTCGTTTCTTCACTATCTATCGTCAAGGTCGTTTGTCTAATTCACGCATCTTTTCGTCGACTCTTTATCGTTTCGACAGTCCACTCGCTTTCTACACGTCAATTATTTCGACATAGAATAATCATAATCAAGATGCGTTTCTCAGCTTTCGCCCTCCTCTCGCTGGTCTCGGTTGCCTTTGCTGGTAACTGCGGACCTCAGAATGGAAACGCCAAGTGCGCTGCCAACGAGTGCTGTAAGTCTACAATACCCTCACATCTTCGAATTCTTGCTAATAATGCATCACAGGCTCCCAGTACGGCTGGTGCGGAACCACACCCGCCCACTGCGACGCAAAGAACTGCATGCACCCCTTCTCCGGCGCCTCCTCATCCTGCAAGCCCACCCCAACCACGATGAAGACCTCCGCGACCAAGCAAGCCACCTCGCCCGCAACCACCTTCCCCACCGCCGTCCCCGAGATCGACGTCTGCGGCCACGCCCAAGGCGGCGTCACCTGCCCCGGCGCCGGCGCAAACGGCTTCTTCTACCGCTGCTGCTCGTCCGCCGGCCACTGCGGCCCCAAGAACGATATCCAGGACCAGAACCTGTACTGCGGCGACGGCTGCCAGGCCGGCTTCGGAAAGTGCGACAACCAAAAGGCGCCTGCTGAGCCTACTGCCCCCAAGGGTACTTCGGGTGAGGGAGAGACGTGCGGTCCTATTGTTAACAAGAAGTGTGGTAACAACCTCTGCTGCTCTGGTTCCAACTTCTGTGGCTCTGGTGAGGACTTCTGCGGAAAGGCCAACTGGTGCCAGAGCAAGTGGGGAAGGTGCAACTAAGATGTTGGATGTCAACATGGGGTTGGAGTAGAGAAGTTGGGGGTTAGAATAGTTACGAGTATAAGAGTCCATGGGACAATGAAAAGACATGAGAACTACACATTACTTGCACACGCGTAGACATTAAATTGCCTTCTTTCCACGGGCGGATCTTCACAAACCCCCCTGACACGCTCAACGCAAGCACACAGCAACCTCCATTCACACCCCCATAGCGTCCGTGAGAGTTGATGGACGTCTTCTCTACTGTGCTATAAGGAGTGTTGTCTTGCTTGATGGTGGTGGTGTTAGTGGTAAAGATAGGGGAGGAGAGCTGGAGTTGTCCTGAGCGAGAAGAAAAGCCATGTCATCCATTGTAAAGAGTGGAGCGAATGCGTGCCGCCGACAGTCCGGGGGAGGGAGTTTGACTGTTGATAGGTTAGACTACATTCAAGTTTCGCACCTCTCGCTGGGAAATGGCTGCTCGAAATGGGCAAGGTAATATGATACTTCGGTACTGATGAAGTGAAGTGAATATACAGAATCTTGTCCAAGCAAGCTTCGGTCGAGCCGTTTTCCACGCGAGGGATCAGATATAATGATTTGGGGTCGCCCCGCTGTTTATCAAAGGCTTGATGGAAGGATGAGAGGGATGTTTGGTTTGATCCTAACAGTCCTCCTCGTGTATCAAGTTATATATCATTTCTTTATCTATAAGTTAGAGATTCTATCATCGTAATCTACTCTGTGTAAGGACCGTACCAGCACCAAACCACGTCAAACTACACCAAACACATGACCGTCACACCAAATACGCCTCTCCTCCGAAAGATAGAAGACTAAGAAAGAAAGAAGAACCCCAGAGAAATAGAAAACACCTAGTCCTACCACTCTCCCACACCACACTAACCCTTAACCCACTCCCCAACCTCAAACCCCACCCTCCTCAAATCCGCATCCGCAAACCTGCCTCCAGGTCCACACGCCTTCCAAACACTCAAACACCTAACCCCTTCGTCCATCTCCGGTTTCAGCCCCACCTGCCCCTCCTTCGGATCAAAGCTCTTCACATACAGCGTCAAATCGGGTCCTACGGTGCCGCGCCACAGCGTCGCCATCCACTGCCAGTGGTCGGTTGGGCTGTAGGCATCTTGGATGGGGATGCGGGAGGCGTAGGCGATGGAGGCGGCGAGTTGGAAGGTTGGGAGCAGGATTACGGGTTTGATGGTGGGGGAGGTGGAAGAAAGGGAGTGGGAGGGGGAGTCGGGGGGTGTGGCGGAGTCTTTGCGGGTGTCTTTTGTGGAGACGATGATTGTGTCGCTGTTGTTGGATGACGGGGTGTCTATGGGTGAAGTGGGTGTGGTGGTGATGTATTTGATCATTTCTTTGCTCTTGGCGTGCCATTCTTTGATTAGGTCGAGGTAGTCTTCGAAGGTAACCTCGTTGTCGGCGTTGTCGGTGGGGGATTGCGGTGGCTCGGCGATTTGCGGGCTGTATTCCTTTTGCTTGATGAGGTATTCGTTGAGCCATTCTGTGAGTTCTTTGACGGCGGCTGGGTCGTCGCCTTCGATGGCGATGATGGCTCCGCGGTTGGCGCGGTAGGATGGGCTGGCGGAACCGGGCTCTTTGTATTGATAGGGAGGCGTTATACGTCCGAGGAGTTTAATCTTGTTGGGATATGGGAAAGCACTGAGAACTTCCTCTACGCTCTTGGGACTGCCATCGGACTGTAGAGATCCTAGCTCAACCATTGATTGATGGCGCATCTCGCGAGGGGTCCGCGGAGGAGGCATTGTCGCACTGTGTGGCGTCACATGGATGGGTGGCAAAGACTCCCGTCGATAGACGGCGTATTGCTGGATCGGGCCGTTATGCGATCCGTCTGGTCTACGACCGTTACTCGTCGGGGGAGGCCCTTGATCGAAGCGGCGCTTCTTGTTCGGCGTCAAAGGGCTATACATCATCGTGTCTCCACGCATGGTCGGATTGAGCTGAATGTTACTGAGGCTTGGTGGAATGGGGCCGCGGCGATGACCGGGCGACTCAAGGCTGAGGTTACTCATCACGGGTAGGTAACGAGTTGTTGGCGTGAGGCCTTCCGAGATGTTAGGAGGCGGCAGAGTCGGGGTACCAGAAGCGTCAAGGAAAGGACTGGTAGGTGTTCTCAGACTGCGGCCACCACACTTGTGACAACGGTACTTGTCAACTGTCGTATGCTGGCCAGTAGGGTTCAACGGTGACGACCCAGGTTTGCCAAGACGACGCGGTTGGTAGCGATAGTCGGGATATTGTTCCTGGTGCCTAGCCTTCTCTTCCTAACTTCACGTTAACAAAGACAATGGAGGGTAAGGTGCCAAGGGCCACTAACCTGCGCAAGGTCTTGCCAAACCTTCTTCTGCTCTTCACCCTCAGCCTTCCACTGTTCACCGATAATCTTTGAGATGTCAGGATTGTTAAGACCCGGATTACGAGCGGTAATGGCCTGCTGGTGGTGCTGTCGATAAAGAATAAAAGCTACAAGGCAATGGTCAGCAGGCTGCGCAAGAATGACCGCAAACAATGATGGGTGTCTTTGTTCTGAGTCAAATCCGAGTCAAATGCTCCGATTAGGAAAGTGACGTACATCCAAGACAAAGGAAGATAATATCGACTTACCATTTCGCGGACGCGGTATTTTCGGCTCTGGCTGACACAAGCAAACATGACCTGAGAAGTCGGGCTCGCCGCCAGCTGTAGCGGACGAAGCACTCTGGGGAGGTTTATCGTCAGATGGACTGATCAAGTCGTCGGCCCCGTCAATCTCAATCAGCGGCGAAGGTCTTTTCCTTGTAGTCCTCGGAGACGACAAAGCAGGAGAGGCTGGCGGCTCGTCCCTCTTAGTACGTTCAGCAGTAGGACTAGACGTGGAAGCTGGGCGCGTCTCGTTGATCCGACTGCTCTTGCGCAAGTTCCTCGAAGGCTTCGAATCGTCCATCGGAGACACTGGAGATGCATCACCAATCTGCATGTTTGTCTTGACGTACCGCCTCGGCACGTGAAAGAAGGTAGCGACAGGCGGAGAATGGGGAGAAGAAGGAGTCAAAGTCCAAACAATCGGTGGCAACACTCGACTGGCTAGCATTTTCGATTTCTAGAGACGCGGCAGCTGACCTAATGACTCCGATGGAAGAAGGCGCGGTTCATTGTCCTCGGTCGGACACGAAGGGAGGGAACAGCCGCGTTGGTAACGAACCATTAACAACATGTCCGTATCTTTGAATGCATTATCCGGTAGCTAGAGTTGGATCTTTGACGCTTTGACGATGGTAGCAGCCGTGATCCAGTAAAATGATTGTTCCAGTCATATGCAGCCGATCTGCGCTGGCGGTTTCTTTGTTCTACTACTTCGGGAGCGTGCCAAGACAAGCTTCCACCAACCGCGAGACATGTACATTCCTGCGTCAGCTATGCAAATAAGAGCCGGGGCTTTGTCTCAGACCAGGGCCTGGTCTTGTCTCGCGTTCGTCATTGGAGTGGTACTTTGATGCGCGGCTTATGCAAGGGGCGCCAACAATGCAACACCTTCCCGCATTGCAGTGCCGCATCGCAACGGCTGTGGCTCAGCTCAGAAGCGAAGCTGTAGACGATAGTCTCCCCTATTACGACTGATGGTGTATGCAGTCAAAGCATCGAAAGACGGGCGCGAGCCAGGGAGGCAATAGACCTCAGAGATTTCCGCCTCCCCTCCACCCTCCCCGCTTCCCCAGTCCTCGCCAACAATACAACATTCTCTTTCATGACAATGACTGTGGCTCAATCTTGAAAACGATGCAGTCATACTGCGCCTTGCCGCCATATGCCGTCCTGGTTGTAGCGAGGCGCATTTTACCGCGTGTCGCGGGTGACCAGGTAGTTCCACGAAGCTCTTCTCAGCCATGGCCAAGTTCCAAACAGTGTCTTTGACAACTTGTGCTGACAACCCGAGGGAAACTTCGTTCCGTCGGCGAGGTCTCAGACACTTTTTTAACGACCTGTGATAGTATCCCGGAAGAAACTTGAGGTCAAAGCTCGCTCCCTCTTGCTCTTCCAATCTGTCCCTCTTTCCTGTGTCCGTGTCCGTGTCGCGGGGAAGCAGGAAGCTCCGTTCAGCCTCGGCCGAGTTCCAGAGAGTGTCTTGTGCTAATACCCTGGAGGAAACTTGAGCTTAAACTGCACTCGCTCGTTTTCCTGCTTCTTCTCTTCCTCACTCTTTTCACGCACAGTATTAATGCTCCGATTCCCGCGTACCAAGTTCGCGGCATGTTTGCCAATGAGTTCATGAGCCGGCCCACTGAGCTGAATATTATCCCTATCACATCGACCCGTTAGCTTGAAACAGAGACAAAGCGTTTGTGCTGTGCTATAACTTGTGGCTTGAAAGGAGCGTGGTGCTATGCAGCGACTGAGGTGCGTATAGCGTGAACGCAGTAGATGTATCAAGTGATCAAGGACGAGGCTTATGAACTTACCAAAATAAGTGCTCAGTCGGGGCCGAGCATTTAACCAATCCACTCCCCCTTACAGCATCCAAACAGGGCGTATCAACGTGTTCAAAAAGCGGTGCCTGAGCTCCCACACCAGTCGCATCAGAAATCTGTCGCGAGTGCAGTTGTTTGGCGCGGACTTCGTTCATGATGATAGCATTTGGCTCAGGCATGTAGATGGCGCCCGTTTTCCATTCTGCAGCTTTCCGAACTAAGACTGTATTCCAGTATGACCATAGAAACACCATTCGGTGCTGAGTCACTGCGAAATCGGCTTCCCGCATGGCTTTCTTTTGTAACTGGAATTGCGGGAGGAAGGAGGCGTCGATCATTTTGGGTATGACGACGTTGGGTGGGTGGGCTGCGTGTTCGGCCAGGATGTCGAGACTGTGGAAGAGGGACTCGATGCTCTTGTCCACTGCGGACATGGCCACAGGCTTCTCCAACGTAGAGTATTCGAGCAGATCCCACAGGCCGAAGAAGACGGTGAAGAAAGTCCATTCGTCTCCTTTCCGTAGGCGTTCGGGGATGACTCGTCGCCCCTTGTCGTAGGCGACGTACTGTTCCATTTGTGTCTTGAAGTCAAACGACGTTACAGTTGTCTCGTTGTTTCCCGCGCCTTTCGTTTCCGTGTGGACGTTTGCGTCGACTAGCGATCCGATGTGTGCGGCCGCGGCTGGCTTGGAGTGGGCGAAGTTGTCAATCGTGTCGCATGCGAGCTGGAGTGTGTCAGACTGTGTTTGTGTATGAGGGCATGACTCTGACGAACCTCTTTGCATAGCGTTTCCACCCATAGGTCGCCTCGGTCAGCGTCGCGGGCTACCACTGCGGATAGCACAGGCGAAGAGACGCGGTAGCTTCCCGTGTCGGACCAATCGTTGCCGAACACTACTATGCGGTGCGCGTTACCGCGCCATACTGTGTTGACGGTGTCTTCGAAATTAGCGGAATGTACCCAAGTGAAGTACAAGATCATGAGAATGGCAAGAGCCGCACAGAGGTGCAGCCGCGAGAAGAACCTCATTGTGTGGTCGGCTAGGCTATGCGACAGGTGACAGGCGACAGGTGTGAGGGTGAAGTGGTAGCAATGCGATGCGACCCAGCAAATGGAAGCAAATAGTGGGCAGCTTTGTGAAGCAGTGGAAGGTATAGGCTGCTAACCGCGGGAGTAGCCAGCGTCATCCTTGACAAGCGTTGAAGAACATGACGACGCAGTTGACGCCTGTGCGAGTGCGAGCCTCGCTGTGATTGCATCCCCGGGAATACATGGGTCAGAAACGTCCAAATGTGGATACATGTCGCGTGCGCGTCGCATGCCAAACTCAGAATCCCATATTCAGAGTCTGCTGGCCTGACTGTTCATCGACTCACCTACCGTCGACTCACTTTCCTTACTCAGCGTTTCTCCTTTTCTTTTTGTGTGACCGCCACAACACCGACGACGCCGACATTACACAGCGCCGTGGTGCGAAAAGTTGAGGTTCTGACCGCGCGGAACCTACGGCCGCTCGGCATCTCGCCCCACTTCTCGTGGCGTAATCAGCGGAGCAGAGTTCAGGACTTACGTATATAATTTTAGCTAACGATTATCAGTGGAGGAGGATGCGAATGCCCAGGTTGTGAAAGCCACGAAGCCACAAATGCAGCAGACGCGCTATGCCTCTAGCGCGTTAAGTGCTTATCCTGCCGCCCGTTGAACACGATCGGGTTCGGAAGATGCCAACCGCTTGTCAGCCCGCTCGCTGCACCGCCGCCGACTCCTCGCCATCGCCAAACTTCAGGTTCGCGAACCTGTCCATCAGGAAATCTCGCATCGCACCTTTATCGTCAATCCACTGTGCGACGATGAACGACTGCTCTGCCCATTTTCTCGTCCTAACATCATCTTCTGACAGGTAAAAGTCTACGGCGCGATTGAAAGCGGTGCTTGCGAGCCATTCGAGCTCGGTTTGGGGGTAGCAGTCGACCTCCTTGATGCACTCGTCAGCCAGGTCTGCAGCGTCTTCATTTGTGACGAAATCAGAAGATGGCGGCGGTGTATCGAGTCCGGTTATCGCGATGGAGGGAGGATGGAGGGTCTGAATGGGCTTAGGAATATATCGGGATTGCTAGGGTGCGGGAACTTACGTTTTTCTGCTTCGCAGCAAGATGCGTTACTTGCTGGATGCATTTGATGCTGACGTCCTCGTCGTACTCGAGTGAAAGGCTGAACATGCATCTAAGCCAGCGTGCCAGTTTCGTGATGTCGCGGCCTGCTGGTTGGCGGCAAGTCAGGTTGATGATTTTCTGGA